ACTAAACAACCTAAAACTCTTATTTAGCCGCAAAGGAAGAGATTTACGTTTCAAAAGAGGTCGATGAAAGTGTTCTTGCATCAGAGGACAAATCATGCCGACCAGAAACAATAACCGCAGAAAACCAATATGCGTGTCATGACCTCTCAGTATGAAACAAGCGGCAAAATTCACATTTACTCATTCAAAGAGTAGAACCCAGAATATAATATACCCACCAGAGAAAACAATTTTTGGAACAAGCAACATTTTGGCACGAGGTAAAAGTCGTGTGTTGCCTACCAGCCCCCTTTTTACACTGTTAGATGGTTCGAGCATTTTGGCGGGATCACGGCTCTTTTGGCGCGTGTTGTAAATGCCCTTTGAATTATAATATTTGTGTGTTATTGTATAGTGATCGAGGATATACACAATACCAAAGGCAAGTAAATATTTTCCTCAGTTTTCCTCAGTGTCGTCAAACCGGCTTCACCGATGTGCTCGAACTCCGCATGCGAGAGCCATAACAAGCTACTCCTCTACCTTTTAAATAATAAAGGTCTCTCTTACCTTATATCGGCGAACACAGTTTCTGTCCTTCGGACATAATGCGAAATAACATCCAGAACTCTTCACGTTGAACTTTTGAAACCATTTCGGCGACAATATGTAACTTACCAGGTAACGTACCGAATAATTATTACATTGGAGGGTTCGAATTCGACCTTCATAAAGCGCTAGATTTTGCCTTTCGCTTAAGAAACGAAAAAAAAAATTCCTTTTTTTTCCAAGACTTGCACCAAGACCCTTTTTTAACACCAACCATGAATTCAAGTATTTTCATTCATTAAGTGATTTTGACGAGAACCATAGCTGAGTTAAAATATCTCGCTCCGATGGTATAAATTCGGCGCGCAGAAGACAAGCTCTGATATTTGACGCAAATTTGTGTCCTGTCCTAAAATGAGTTTATTGACAGATGAACTGACAGAAAGCGATTAATGTGCACACCTGAGGTGCGCAAGGAAATGTGTCAAGACTAACGCCTTGTAGTTACTTGAGTCCAGTTTGTGGGTATCTCCATGGAAGTTAAGGATCCCTGGTGCGTGCACGAAAATCGACCTTGCGGCTCGTAATGATTCGAGACCATGTTAAAAACTGAACAAACCTACCTGCAGTTGAAGAAAATGCCTGGCAAAAAATGAACACTAAAAGACCAGCAATAATTATCCGCTCTGAAGCCATTTCAGTACTACAATCTGGAAATGATTCAAACAGAAATATTCCGGCCCAGTGAAATTTGTAAGCTTCTTTTCAATAGACGATCTGTAAGGAAGTCAAGCCTCGTTTTCTCGAAATCATGCATGACGCAGTAGTGCCAAGACTCAGCAGTGTGACCAGGCACTTGCGTGGGACGGGGTTAAGTACTACCCACCTTTTCATGATAAAAAACTTAAATTATGAGGCTTGTGTAGATAGCAAATACTGACTATACTGCATAGCCCTACATAGCCCTACATAGCCATACACAGCCCTACGTAGGGCTGCTTATGGCTATGTAGGGCTATGTATGGCTATGTACGGCTATGTTTGGTTATGCAGGGCTGTGTAGGGCTATGTAGAGCTATGTATGGCTATTTAGGGCTATGTATGGCTATGCATGACCATGTAAGGCTATGTAGGGCTATGTATGGCCATGCATGGCTATGTATGACTATGTAGGGTTATGTATGGCTATTTAAACATGGCCATGTAGGGTTATGTAGGCCTATGTACGACTATGTATGGCTATTTAGGGCTGTGTATGGCTATGTAGAGTTATGTAGGCCTATGTATGAATATGTTTGGCTATGTAGGGTTATGAATGGCTCTGTACGGCTGTGTATGGCTATGTATGGCTATGTAGGGTTATGTAGGCCTATGTACGACTATGTATGGCTATGTAGGGCTATGTATGGCTAAGTAGGGCTGTGTATGATTATGTACGTCTATGCTGGGCTGTATATATACATTGCTTCTAGTAACTAACGTCAAACCACTATATGATGCTTACATCACGTACTTACCGTGTGTTTTCGAGGTCTGTGTTTTCTAGACACCCACCGGCAGTCTAGCTAAAAAAAGTTCTAAGTGTCACAAAACATGGTTTCGTCTTCTGAGCCCAGCGTAAACCAAACGCTATACTTGAGAACTGTAAAGCATTTCAGGATCGCTTGACTTTTCTTAATCAACATATGATAATTTAGATTAGCTGGGATTTTTCGATTTTGTGAAATTTACTGAGAATATAAGACTGCCGGTCATTTAGTGTTTTGAAAACCTTGACCGGTTACCGGCCATATAACCACAGCGTATTATAAAAGCTGGTGGCTAGTGTTAAGGTAACAGACTTGTAGTTTGCCTTCGCTTTTTGTAAAAAATAAACTAGGAAAACTGGTGTCCTCGCTCGTTGGCTGTTTGCTGTTTGTTAAGTTCGATTAATAAATTTAGCGAGCCAAGTTTTTAGACCTGCAGTAAAACAACAACACAACTAAGGAGAACTACAAAGTGTGTTTGTAATATTGTTTTTCGCTTTGTTTATAGGTCAGTTGATCATGCATTTTTTGAAAGTGTCGTTTCTTTTTCCAAAGTGGCAGATAATATTTACCTGGATTTACAAAAAAATATATTTTTTTAGACGTTTGTTTCTCTAGTAACTTCGCAAATTGCAAGTGTAGGCACGGGACTAAATCAGTTATGACTTGAGAACTCGTTTGGTTTGTTCTGAGATAATTTATATATCCTTTGAAAAAGTTCGCGATATATTTATTCAAGATTTTTAAAGATTTATGTACTGAAAATCGGGGAAAATTGTCGAGGAAAATATTAAGGCAACAGACAAATAGATATTTAAGTATTTTAAATTCCAGCGCGCCTACCCAAAATATTAAAACTAGAACATCGTGTCGCCGTCTTTTCGAAAACTTTTACCTTCTACACCAACAGAAATAACCTTCGAGATCTCCTTTAATCTCGCAAGAAGTTAAATGTGGTTGTGCTGACCGTTTTATTTGTAGTTGAAAAAATTACTGCACTTTTCACAAACATGCGAACTCTAAAGTTCAAAAGCCGCCTTCTCAATTGCGTTTTGCGCTGCCGTCAATCATAATTACGATCACACAAGCAACGAACCTTGAAACACAGAAACTCACAAACGGATCGAAATCCACCTATCAGAAATCACAATCCATGACCTTTTGAACCCGTTAAAATAAAGTTTTTTTTCCTAAGAGGTCCATTAAGATGATTGACGGCAGCGAAAAACGCAACCGTCAGTTGGCTTTTGAACTTCAGAATTCGCATGTTTGTGAAAAGCGCAGTAAAAGCTGACTCGTCCCCAGTCGTCTCTCTTGAGAAAGGAGAGAAGCGCGAGGGGTGATGGGAAGGAGGAAAGGGGAGAGACGTCGTTTCTCCCTTCCCCTTTCCTCCTTCCCATCACCCCTCGCGCTTCTCTCCTTTCTCAAGAGAGACGACTGGGGACGAGTCAGCAGTAAAAGATAAAAGCTATTTTTCAAGTCAGTGAGTCTCCATTTTACCCACGTATGAAAAATTTCGGCAAATGTCAATCAATCAAAAAAGTGGGCAGAAGACGCTTCGTAGAAGGTTTGTATCAGGTTCTATTTTCGTTTCGCCTTGCCCGCCGGAATGTAATTTTCAAAGCGAAACGAAAATAGAGCCTGATCTCAGGTTAATATTGGAAACGCTTGCTACGCAGGTTATAGCTTTTAAGGAAGTTGTTGCCGAAATGTAGCCCGGTTGATTGGCTGAGTGGCTCGACTTTTGGCAAGTGACGTATTTTGTTATTTGTGAAAGTTTTTGTCAGTTAGTGTATTGTTTTCTTGGCACGTCTTAGCTGGTCTCCTAGGACGTTTTGAATATCTAATTAGGATTTAGCGGTTCCCAATTTTAACAGTTTATATAGTTTATGCAGCAAGTACGTACCAAAAAGACGATGTTTTTTCGTTAGGTGCAAATTTTGTTACGGAACATCTTTGTTTTGACACTACACTGTCAATTCGTCACGTAGGAGAAAATTTAAAGATAAACCTAAAATTCCTATCCTTTCACGGATACCGGTTTTGCTAGTCTTTTAATAGTTAAAAAACATTACGCTCAACGAAATTGCTGGATAAGAACTTTTCGCACCAGCCATGTCGTCTTTTGAACTGCGATCATGTCATCATGAGCGAACAAGTTTACCCTTTTCAATTTCTTCAAGGAATCGGTTCACTCTATTTAAAAAATCGTATAAAGCGAACGCAAACGTTTTGAATTTGCGTTGTGTTTCTGAGGAAAATTTCGAGGAACGTTTCATCTGCCGTTCCTAGGTTTCAGCTGCTTCAAGTTTGTTTATTTCATAACGTTTCATGAAACCTTGTCCTGTAATTTTAGTTCGGGGAAAGTGAACCGATTAAAACGCGAGCCACTGCCACTGCATTAACTCACAGACATTTAAAAATTAAAACCAGAAAAAAAATTTAGAAAAATCAGAATTAGAACTACACCAGTCATAGAGGACTGTATCGGGGACTTGCTCGAAATATTATTGATTATTATTAATATTGTTCCTTTCATAACATGAATAAGTATGTTTTTAAGCACCCTGCGAGCGGAGCCTCCTTTGCCTCTTTGATTGAGAACGAGAAAAAAAGGCTTTGCCCGAATCTAGTCAAGCCTTTGAAGTCGCCACAGCCTGAATTTCTGGACTAGAAATCTTGCTCTCCATTCGTCAAACTGGTTTTCGAGTGCGTCGTTTATTGATGATCCCACTGTACCACGCGCACGGCTGTTAACCCTGGGTTCAAAACTGTGTCCTAATACATGCTCAACAAAGATCTTATTCGATTCACGCGCAGTCTGTCTCGAGAATGCCAAAATCGGGAAAGTAACATAAAGGTCCTGCCAGCAGAGTGGTATTTAAATGGAAGTGATATGAAACGTCCGCCCTTCGCTCCTCTCCTGGTGGAGGTGACACCTACTGCCCGCACAGTCGCAGTATCCTCCAAAGACTTTACTTCCGGTGCGGATGTAGTTATAGCTCTGTATAGTGGGCTGCCACATCAAAACCAGGGCAGCTTTCCAGTTTTTTGCTCTTGTCCTGTATGTATTCTTTTATTTGAGCAGGGATTCCATTACGTATGACTCATGCTAAATTTGCAGCTTTCGCCATTTTCATAAACAAGCTTTCTTGTTTCAGCAACTTCTCAGGTGTATCGAATTCGAAGATGACCCCGTTATCGAGAACCAAGATCCTACAAAAGCAAATACAATATGTAAGATGATTAACACCATTTCTGGTATACTGACTCTGATTGACCTGAAATCGCCTCTCCAAAAGGTCTCAGAGGACGTTTTTATGCTTAAAAGGTGTCATGAAAGCTCTTTCCATAAACCTCAAAGCAACGTTCCGGAATGATACATGATTTTCGAACAGTCAGAAATAACGCATATCTCGGACCATCATACAGGGTACAATAAAAGCAAAGTGAAGATAAGTTTAATACAATCATTTTTGTTCAATCATTCATTATTAGATATGACAAATCAAAAGCGTAGTATCCGAGTATCTTGGTCACTTGTACACCTCTGTTAATCCCAACCGTTTGGTCTTACCTATCATAATCCATAATAGTATTGAGCCTGTGTGCAATGGTGAACACTGTGCGGTCAGCGAACTCGCGCCGAATCGTCTGTTGAATGAGATCATCAGTTTCCAGATCCACCGCGGCTGTGGCTTCATCAAGAACAAGGACCTTACTGTCACGCAGCAACGCACGTGCTAAACACAACAACTGCCGCTGACCAACACTGTGAAAAAGTAGAGACTGTCTTAATAGTCTGATATTATGAATGGTTACAATAGATCTTTTCCCCAGAGCTCCCAATGGGGAAATAGCTTGGGTTGGGCTCACGCTGGCTTTTCATCACTCTCTTGTTTGCTGTCCAAGCTGATAAATTGCCTGGGCGAAGAAAATTTGGGACCAGACTTCGTCTCGGTAAAGACGGAAGACTGACACCGATAAATCGTGAAACCTCCACATCACCAGTATGTTTAGCGATAGCAATTCAACACTGAATTTGAGACGGGATGCACGACGTCTACTTTATTCATGCGTTGTCCAGAGCTTTCAGCTTTTCTTTTCTTAGATAGAATACCTCATCCTGCACGTCACTCGCCGGCCTAATTACTCGTCCGAAACATTGGTTACAACTACTTCTTAAGAAAAGAATTCTTTACTGATGGAAATGAAAACTCCCGAGAGTCTCAACGAGCTTTTTAATCGCTCAAAGTCCTGATGAGTTGCCGAACTTTTAATAAGCCCAGTAGCGGGCACAATTTGGGCAAAACAAAATTGACACTAGATACTATTCAGCTAGTATATTACCAAATAGGGAGTTAGTGAAAATGCACACGCGTTTCACCTTAGATTCTCTCCTCCTTCTGTTATCTTGTGCTGTAGTCCGTCATTTAGTCCCGACACAAAGCTCTTTAAATGACTAACTTCCATGACCGTCCAGAGTTCATCATCACTGTGTTTATTAAACGGGTCCAAGTTAAAACGGATACTTCCGCAAAACAACACTGGCTCCTGTATAAAAAAGAATATCCTATTAAACAGAACTTGATCAATCTTCAGTGAAGGGTCACTATCGCCCGTTATTCTTGCCCTCAGTGAACAGGTAGTTAAACTTATGTACGTGTAAAGGCCGTGTGATGTCATTAAATACATTAATGTAGGAATAAATGAAGGAATAGGTATATGTTGTGAGGATGTCGACATCTATACCTCAAAAAAGTGTGGCCATTAAAATTTCTAACGCATCGATTCGACGGCGCAAAAACCCTTTGTTTCGTCGAGTCGAGGCAGGGCCGATAATTACCGGATCCGGAAAGCTGTTGTCCTTATATTCGGGATCATGTTTTCTATACTTTTGCAGATAGCATGTTAAAGCTATCAGTCAACAGTTTGTGAGATCTGCGCTTATGTTCTTTAAATTTCTATTTGAAAATTTGGTTTCGGGCCTGAAAAGTTAACGAAAGTTTCGAGAAACGGGTCCCTGCAGGGTTTCCTATTAGAGGGAATTAACGCCTGCAACGTAGACGTGGCTGTGTATGAATGCAATGTTCTTTATCACTTCACTGTCTTATAAGTATCTAAGCCATTGATGTTGAAACAGTTTTCCAACGCATGCGATAACAATGTGTGCATGTTCGAGTCAAACCCCTTCTCATGCTTAAGCAGAATTTCCCTTGTTTCCGATAAATAGTTATGGTTAAGAAATAAAGGAAAATGTAAATCAAACCAGGTTAAGACCACTTTTATCCGGGAATATTTTACCCCAGTACAAGATGCACTTCTTATAAATGCTTAGGATGATCAGGAATAATCGAGCTTACGGAAGTCCAGTAGAACAAAGCATTTTAGTTACTTAGAATTCTTTTTGAAGCTTTCCTCAGAATGCTCTCTGACTCTAACTACATCTATGTGCATGTTATATACGTGCCTATGATATTACCTGGGGAATGATAGTGAGTCTAGAGCGTAGATCCTGCAGTCCAATACTAGCGATATCAATTCCATCAATTAAAATTCTTCCTCCAGCTCTCTCCAGAATACGAAACAAAGCTAAAGTCAGGGACGATTTTCCAGCTCCGGTGCGGCCCACAACACCGATCTGTAAAAAGAAAAAGAACTTATCACTTTGTTGCAAGGACTTATAATGACAAAAAGATAAAGAATAATATAATAAACTGAACTAAGTTCGATCACTCGACATGTTTCATGCTAGGTCACTTAATTAGGTTCCACACTCAAATAAGGTCACACAAAGCAAATAAATAAGTAGCAATCAATATGATAACACCTTACGAAACCACGATACAATTTCTCCGCCATCGCAAGAACATAACTTCACGAAACAGGATTTCCATAATTTACAATCGAGTGTTCATCAGAAAATCTACTTTTCATTTTCAACAATAAAATGGTACGTTTAGCGTCTGAATCCATTTCCGAACTTTGATATAACGAACCTCTCTATAACGAAGTCCTCGGTATAACAAACTATTCGCTTTACACCAGTAAGAGTAACTCGATACACGAGTTAGAAACGAAATCTGAATGACGATCGCCTGAGACACACCCAAGTTTGGGCTCGAGTTATACTTCTAAGTCGGATATGTCTATGGTAATAGTAGGTATGGATAATGTGATGGTGACGAATAAAAGCTGTAAATAGAATGAAACTAATTACTTTTTGTCAAAAGGGTGGGAAAGCAGACATATTAGCTTACGTTTACAATTTCTGGATTTAGCCCGTTAGGATCTTCTTGTTGATTATAATTTATGCTCTTTCCCTTTTTTTTAACGTCTTTCAATGCCGTAATATCTTCATCCGTAATATCTTTTAACCTATACGCCATCTTGGCACTGAGATATAGGAATCTTTACCAACGGCAGTTTGATAACATCACACGTAATATTATAAACTTTACGACCATATTTCGCGCCAGAATTCTGCAGTAAATGGTCACCCATGATATCAGACTACTATAACAATAATGATGTTGATAATGAAAATGAACATGATGTTTATAAAGATGATGGTGACGATGATGATGACGATGATGATGATGATGATGATGCCACGCAGTGAAGTAGACAGCTAACCTGCTCAAAATTGAAATAAAGGGCTTTACACACAAGAAAAAACTTCATGTAAACATCAGTAGTGTTGACTAGCCTCCTAACAGGAAAACACCAAGGAAGTTGAATGTAGACATTTAATAGTTGTAATACCTTTTCTCCGGGTTTAATATCACAATTGATCTGTCTAAGTACAAGAGGCAACCCTTCCCTATATCTCAAGTCAAACTCTTCTATAACAACACCACCAGTGTTAGGCCAGTCATCTGGGGGTCGATTATCTGGTTTAATCCACTCAGCCTATTTGAAAGAAAATCAAATACTTTGTTTTTAATCAAGCAGTTTTTAATTACTTTGCATTGCTAAGACAATGAGCCAATGAGAACGGAAAAAAATCATGACTTGGTCACAAAGCATTTGCTGCAAGGTTCTGATTGACCACCTTGCTTTTCAGCAAATTTTCAGATTGGTCAATGTAATCATCTTAGCTTTTGGTTCAACGACACCAAAATTAGAAAAGAATGATTAATAAGTTAACTCAAGTTTGGAAACTAAGTGGTATTCTTATTAACCTCAGACGGCATCTATAGAACGAAAGAACAAATTGTTACAATTCGGACGCCTCTAAAGCCCGCAAACCGAGAGCTGTTAATTAACCACTAACGTCCAATAATAACTATGAAAGGCAATTATTGTGCAAGTAAGATAATTAGTGACACCGTGTATTCAAAATGGTTTGTTAGAGATTTTTAAAACATAAGGGGGTTATTCAGTTCACTTTATGCTGTTTAAACCATTTAATGAGATAGTTCAGTCTGACTTATTTTAAGTAGGGACAAAAGTCAAAACCCAAAAAATTAGCTATAGAAGGAAGGAATAAGATAAGCATACATTTAGCATAAAAATGTAATGAAATAATTTTCGGTTTACCTCTGTATCTATTACCGAATACTCTTTTACTCTTTCAACAGAAACAAGCTCGGTTTCCAATAAGCTTGTCATAAGAACCAACATGTTGAGAACCTCTGTTGTCTAAAAAAAGAAGTAAAATTTATCCTTTTTATAACGTTGGAATTTTCCACGAACTTAAAAGCATTATTATTTCCTGCTGAACAGCCTGAATATTACAACTGGGGAGCTTACACAAAAAACGTATTACGAGCTGAATTCCTAGTATTGCAATACTCCGATTGCAGAAAAAAACGGAAGTTGTATGGAAGTGAGGCTTAATAGCCCTCGCGGCAAATTTAAAAGAACCAACACGGCGGACGATCAAGTCGATCTTACTCCAGAGGTCGACATTCCTGGCGCTGGCTTTATTGAAAAAGAGATAGAAAATTTGACCATTGCTCAACCAAAGCTTTGGTTAAAATGCCTCTGCATAAATCAAAATGGTAATAAGAAGAACTGTTGGAAAGGTAGGTGCACATCACCCGGCTTCGCGCAATCGATCAGCTGTTTTATACGCTGTTTATTTTCAACTACAAGTAGTTGACATGGTGGTTTAGACACATGTTTTCATACAAAATTTGCTTTATCAGGGTCTAGAACCTGCAAGCAATGAAAATCTAAAAATATATGGCCCTGACCCAGAGAGGATCTTCACTATATAAAACAAAGTTAGAGAGACAGATTGAAGAACTGAGGGAAAATGGGGAAAATGCGAGTGATGCAGCAAACCACTTCAAGAACTTTCCCACCGTTGATCCAGCATTTGGTGATGATTTTACCGTCCTTCCCAAGTTCGTTCTGACTGAAACATTAGAACACCTAAAGAACAGTGGAAAGAACACCAGGAAATCTGCTGATGCCGTTGCCGAGTTGGCAAGTGCTCAGAATGCTCTCATTTGTTCCAGCACCAGGAATGTCCCCTGGAGTAACTCTGTAAGATCAACTTGATCAGGCGCCATGTTGGTTCTTTTAAATTTGCCGCGAGGGCTATTAAGCCTCACTTCCATGAAACTTCCGTTTTTTTCTGGAATCGGAGTAATCACACAAAAGGAATTAAATACATTCTCAAGTCCTGTAACTTACAAACTAAAAAA